TGGGTGGTTTTCAGAGGAAATCGTTATTAAAAATGAATCGGATCAGTCTTTACTCTTGGTATGTATATTTGGGCTATGAAATACACCCTTTTAACCACATCATCATCATCATTACAGCCTTTCATAAGTCTACTGCTAAACATAGGCCTCCCCCAAGGAGTGCCACAAAGCACGGTCCTGAGCCACCTGCATCCACCGACTTCCTGCATGTCTTACCAGGTCGTCACTTCATCTCGTGGGGGGGGGGGGGTCACCCTAACTTCGCCTACCGGTACGAGGCTGTCACTCAAGAACCATTCTTCCCCATCGGTTGTCGGTTCTTCGAGCTATATGACCGGCCCACTGCCACTTCAGCTTATTAATCCGTTGGGCTATGTCGGTCACTCTGGTTCTACTGCGGTTATACTCATTTCTAAGTTTATCACGCAGAGAAACCCCGAGCATAGCCCTCTCCATAGCTCGCTGAGCGACCTTGACCTTCCTCATACGGCCAGCAGTGAAGGACCACGTCTCAGATCCGTAAGTCATCACTGGCAACACGCACTGGTTGTACAATTTCGTTTTAAGGTTTTGAGGTGTGTCTGACGAGAGGATATGTTGTAGTTTCCCGAACGCTGCCCAGCCGAGTTGAATCCGTCGATTGACCTCTCGGTCGAAGTTGGACTTACCTAGTCGGAATATTTGTCCCAGGTAAACATACTCGTCAACAACTTTGAGCTTAGTACTCCCAACGACTACCGGCATAGGTGTGACATGGACATTAAACATGATCTTTGTTTTGTCCATGTTTATCCTAAGACCTATTCGATGAGAGACACTATTGAGGTCATTGAGCATGGTGATTAGGTCCTCCAGCGTTTCTGCCATAAGGACTATATCGTCGGCAAATGGAAGATGAGTGATATACTCGCCATTGATGTTAATACCGTATCCTTTCCAGTCCAGAAGCTTAAAAAGGTTTTCCAATGCAGCGGTGAAGAGTTTCGGGGATATAACGTCACCCTGTCTTACACCTCTCTGCAATTGGATAGGTTTCGTACTCTGGTTCTCTACTCGGATAGCCATCGTAGCCCGACTGTACAAGCACCTCGATATATCGACAGTCAACTTGGCACCGCTGAAGGGACTGCAGCACCGCCTAAATTTCGACGGAATCAAAGGCTTTCTCATAGTCCACATAAGCCAGGCATAGTGGCAAATTGTACTCCTCGGACTTCTGTACAACTTGCCAAAGGGTATGTATGTGGTCTATGGTGCTAAAGCCCTTTCGAAAACCGGCTTGTTTGGGAGGCTGGAAGTCGTCAAGTCTGCGCGCCAGGCGATTCGTAATGACTCTTGAAAACAGTACGTAGACGCGGCTCAGAAGGGAAATCGGTCGGTGTAGTTCTCTCAGATCAGATCTCTGGCAAAGACTTTGGAGCCTTGGTTCCGCTCGCTCGCTTCTTCAATACAAGCTGTATTGAAGTTGCGTAAGTCCCGCCGCATGCATTTGGAGATATGTCTGTTCAGTAGCCTGTATGCTGTCAAATCTGTTGAAGAATGTAGCTTCATCTCCCGTCTAACAGCCATGAGATTGAGAGTGTGATCGGAGAGTTTTTGTGTTCGTCTGCGGCGGGTCTTGCAGAACTTAGCTCCGACCGCATGGACAGTCTCCACGAGCTTGTCATTCATATCGTCCACTTCACTACAGTCTTCTAGGCACTGAAAACGGTTTTGTAACTCGAGCTGAAAGGTTTTGGGACGTTGGAACAGAGCACGAGGGGGGCGGAGCGTTGACTTCATTAGACGAGACCTCTCCAACTTAACGATTAGCTTCAGTGTGCCTCTAACCATTCGGTGATCGCTACAAGTTTTCACCCTCGCGATCACGGAGACGTCACTGAACAGTTGTCGCCTGGTCGTCATAATGAAATCAATCTCATTTTTTGTGGAACCGTCGGGGCTCGACCAGGTCAACTCCCTGTGAGACCGCTTCTGGAATAAAGAGTTCATCATAAAGAGTTCCTTTTTCTCCATTAAGTCGGGCAGCTGCTGGCCCCTTGGGTTCTGTTGCCCTATTACAAATTTCCCTACTTTCAGCTCGCCGTTCTCTCTTGTGTCTAGTTTTGCATTAAAGTCTCAAATTCACACCGTATAGCTGGTTTTGGAGGAATGCATGACTCTAGAGATATCCTCATACATTTCCTCCACCTCCTCATCGGGGTGTGCCGAGTTTGGTGCGTAAACCTGTATGACCTTCAACGAATACCGTTTGGCGATTCTGAGTATAAGGTACGCAACCCTCGTCGACACACTCTCAATATATACAACGTTGTTAACGTGAGACTTGTGGACGATAAATCCGACACCTCCTTGGGACAGATGGTCGCCCTCCCGGTGATAAAGCAAGTTGCCGGATTCGAGGATTACCGTGTCCTCCCCTTCTCTTCGGACTTTGGATAATCCTATAATATGCCAGCGTAACTTGTCTATCTCTTCTTCCAGCTCCACGATCTTCTCGTCAGTCCTCAGGGTGCGTGCGTTGTATATTGCCAGGTAGAGTAGTCTTAGGTGGCAACCGAACCTTCACCGGAGATTCTTAGCACCCCCTGCCCCACCGTTACCATGGTCGACACCGTAGCCAGGAATAGCGGGACCGCCGGGGACTGGGGGCCGTTTCTTTGTTACTCTCATCATGTTTGCCATAGTTGCCAGGCTTGGCGAGCGGGTTGGCAACCGCAGTTTTTTTTTTTTTTTTTTTATTGTAAGTTTGTTGTTATCAGGAAGATGCTGCTGCCCATCTCCTACCTGTTTCCCTTTGTCGCCTTTTACGACACCCACGGAATATGGGGTAGTGGATATTCTTAACCGCCACTACACGGCTATACCCTTTTTACCTAAACCCGAATTATTTTTCGGTTGGGAAGATGTTTTTCAAGCTACGGACACGAAATCTGGAAGTTACGGCAGAATTTAACTAGCCATATAGATATACTATATGGCTAGTATAATACTATACTATAAATAATAATCATTTGAAATGCTTTTAGTTATCTCTACTGATACAGTTAGGTTCAAGCCCCTTTACCACGTCAAGGTAACAGTCTTTAAAGAGATTTTTTTGGTTTTGTTTTTTTTTTAAATTGTTTTCATTTTTTTATTTTTTTTCGTCTTCATTTATGGCTTATTGTTATTATTTAAATTTTTATTTCGAGTTTAATATTTAAGAATGGTTAGGTGGGTTAGCCTGCTTTTAGTTAAGGGGTGACTTTTAGGGGTTAAGTGGGTTAGGGGTTGGGTGGTTAGATGGATCAATCTGCTTATGGTGTGTACTTCAGTCATTTGAAAAGAAATATGCGACTGAACTCTATGTTTCCAGGGTTAGGTGGGTTAGCCTACTTGTGGTTTGGTCGGGGTGACCTTTAGGGGTTAAGTGGGTTAGGGTGGTTGGCAGCTTTAGCCTAAATGTAGTATAAAATTTAATTATTTGAAGAAAAATACCGAGCTAGCTCGCTGTACCCAGGGTTAGGTGGGTTGAGGGTTGTAAATTAGCTTAGCCGTATGATGTTTTTCTGGATTACTAAAAAACCAGTGATAAACTTCATAATTTCCGCACCTGTAGCTTTAAATATATGACATTTTAAAGAGGTATCATTCTGATGCTATGTCTGAGCAAATTTTTGGGCAAATACATTTTTTGGAATTTTTTCAACATTATAGCATTGCCACTCGACTAACTTTCTGTCCCATTTTGATTTGAATGATTTAAATACAGCAACATCAAGTGGCTCTAGCAAATGCATTGTATGAGACGGGAGTTTCAATATCGTCATCATCATCATTACAGCCCTTCACAAGTCCAACCTGGTCCGATCTTGAAACTCCCGTCTCATACAATGCATTTGCTAGAGGCTAGGGAAATACCCTGAGTGGACAGCATTTAGAGATTTGTATAATGCGCTTATTCATTCGAATCAAGATTTAAGTAAGGTTCAAAAGTTACATTATTTAAAAAGTTATTTGACGGGTGAGGCAGAACAATATTTGAGGCATATTCCTATTGCGAACGAAAATTACGATAGATGTTGGAAATTACTCGAGGACAGATATAATAACAAAAAATATATTTGTCATTTAACATTGAAAAGAATGTTTAGCCAGAAAAACATACTAAACGAATCAGCCAGTGGTCTCAAGGATTTAATCGATACCACTAATGATTGTCTCGCTTCTTTGACCAATATAGGAGTTGACGTAGGAAGTTGGGACGTTATTATTATACACATTTTAACTCTTAAGTTGGACCCGGAAACTAAAAGACAGTGGGAATTTCAAGCAATAACAGCTCGGCAGATGAATTGCCAACATATGCCAATTTCAAAGAGTTTTTAACAAATAGATATCGCGCTATGGAATTTTTGGATTCCGGATCCAACTCAGTCAAAAAAAGTCAGGCTCAAAGTAGTCCTCATGTAAATAAAATGAAAACCTTACATGTAACTAATGTTAAATGTTTGTATTGTTCGGAAGCACACGCACTTGCATTTTGTAAAGAGTTTTCTAAGGAAACTGTGGACGCGCGTAGAAAATTCGTAGAAAGTAATAAAGCATGCTTTAATTGTTTGGGTAGCAATCATTCTGCCAAGTTTTGCCGTACCAACGTAAGGTGTCGCGTTTGCAAAAGGAAACACCATTCACTTTTGCACCCTAGTGGGAAAGCTATTTCTAAGACCATCGAGGATAGGGAACAGGGCGTGTCAGAAGAAGCAATTGCAGCTTCTTCGCAACAAGTAGGTGATTCAAAGTTGAAACTTTCAGAAACGTCAGTCTCTTGTTTTTCTTCAGGCAGAGTTTACAATCAGGCTCTTCTAGCAACTGCACTTGTAAGAGTCAAGTCGAAAACAAGTAGCAACACAGTGCGAGCTCTACTTGATCAGGGCTCGCAATGTTCTTTCATAACGGAGTCAACCGTACAGCGCTTGGGATTGAGAAAAACTCAGATTTTAGGATAAATATCCGGATTGGGCGAACACGAGACAACTTCCAAGGCTATGGTTATTATGGAACTTCAATCACGAGTTGACTCTAACTTTAGAATTAAAGTAGAAGCCTTTGTTTTGAAGACAATAACGGCTCCGTTACCAACATGCAAGATCGACCCGTCAAGTTGGATTGAACTTGAAGGCCTAGTCTTGGCTGATCCAGAGTATCATACTCCAAGTCATATCGATATGTTACTAGGAGTAGGTATTTACAATCAGATACTTCTGGAAGGAATAAAAAGGAGTCCAGAGGGAGAGCTATTAGCTCAGGCTACGTCGTTAGGTTGGATACTCTCTGGACAAATTACCATGACTGCACAGTCAGCACACAAAATAAAGGTCTTGCATTGTTGTTCAAATGATAATGATCTTCTCAAAAGGTTTTGGGAACTGGAGGCAGAACCTGAAATAAAAAAGGAGAAAATGTTCACTGATGAAGAGAAACGTTGTGAAGAAATATTCAATAAAACAACTACGAGAGATGATGAAGGCAGGTATATAGTCCGACTTCCTTTGAAGAACGATCCTCCGCAGGTAGACGGCTCCAAGGAGATATCTGAAAGGAGATTTTATACATTAGAAAATAAATTTAATAAAAATAAAAACCTAAAGGACAAATATACAGAAGTAATGAAAGAGTACATAGATCTGAATCACATGGAGTTAGTACAGAAGGAACATTTGGATAATCCGTTGGCAATCTACTTGCCTCATCACGCGGTAATACGAGAGGACAAAGACACGACGAAAGTCAGAGTAGTATATGATGCTTCTTGTAAAGGAAAAAATAACATGTCTCTCAATGATAATCTCCTTATAGGACCTACCTTACAGCCAGAACTGCGACATTTGGTCATGCGATGGCGTATTCCGCCCATCTGTCTCACTGCTGATATTGGAAAAATGTATCGGCAAGTGAAGATTTCCGATTTAGATGTGGATTTTCAGAGGATTATCTGGAGAGATAATGTTGAAACGGAAATGAAACATTATAGAATGCTGAGGGTGACATTTGGAACTGCCTCTGCGCCTTACCTGGCAGTTAAAGCGTTGCAGCAGTTGGCTCTCGATGAAGGTGATAGTTATCCTATGGCAGCTAAACGAGTTTTAACAGATTATTACATGGATGACTTATTAACAGGATGCCAAACTAAGGAAGAAGGATTGAGGATATTTCATGAAATGAATGAATTATTAAGTAAAGGAGGATTTGAGTTAATGAAATGGACAAGTAATTGCGAGGAATTAGTAGAATCTATGAAAGGGGAAAAAGGAAAAGGGGATGTTCAGGAAGGATTAAAAATTAAATCAGATGAAACTTTGAAAATAGTTGGACTCACCTGGGACCGTAGTGAAGACTCCTTTCGCTACGCTGTCAATCTCCCGAAGCTGGAACAACCTGTAACTAAAAGAAAAATAATTAGTGACATTTCACGCTTTTATGACCCACTGGGCTGGGTAGGGCCCAGTATCATAAAATCAAAAGTAATAATTCAAAGGCTGTGGTTAGCAGGGATTGAATGGGATGAAGCGGTACCAAAAAGTATACTGGATGAGTGGCTTGCTTACCGAGAAGAGCTGAAACTGTTAGAGACGATAAACATACCAAGATGGGTTCACACTAATGCTGACGATTCAGTTGAATTGCACGGCTTTTGCGATGCCTCTAATAGTGCATACGCAGCGGTTATTTACATCCGTGTGATCGACTCCAGTGGGGCGATTAACGTATCTCTGTTAACTGCAAAAACAAAGGTCGCACCGGTGAAACAAGTCTCTATCCCTAGGTTAGAGCTTTGTGGGGCTGTATTATTATCACGACTCATATTGGAAACAGCAAGAGTGCTAGGCATTGAAAAACGTAACATACGAGCATGGACAGATTCTACAGTGGTTCTCGCGTGGATTAATAACCATCCAAGTAGATGGAAAGTTTTTGTCGCAAATCGTGTATCAGAGATTCAGTCTAATTTGGATTCTCATAATTGGTCGCATATTAGCTCTAAAGAAAATGCTGCTGATGCTGCATCTAGAGGACTATCTCCTCAAGAATTGGTAAAAAATAGCATATGGTTCAACGGTCCTGACTTTTTGAGAAACAGTACTATCAATTATGAGAAGCCCAAAGAAGTAACTACAAATTTGGAAAAGGTTAAATCGCATTGTGCTGTTGTAGGAGATGGTATATGGGAGAGGTTTTCATCTTTGACGAGGATGAAAAGAGTAATAGCCTACTGTAAACGTTTTATAAATAATTTAAGTTCAGAACCTAACAAGAGAAAGAGAGGCTATCTGACCACGCAAGAACTAACTGAAGCACAAAATGTATGCATTAAGCAGTATCAAGCAATTCATTTTAAAGAAGAGATCTTGTTGGTAAAACAAAAGAGTAACTTACCTAAAGGTAGTAAACTCCGTTCGTTGAACCCAGTGATGGATGCTGATGAAATCCTAAGAGTAGGTGGGAGATTGGAGCTTTCTGGCTTGAGTCGCAACCAGAAACATCCTATCCTAATACCCAAGAAGTGCCATTTAACCAACTTAATTATTGCGGATGCCCACAAGAATACACTTCATGGAGGTCCCCAGTTGATGATCTGCTATATCCAGGTAAAATACTGGATCTTGGGAGCAAAACAGTCGGTCAGGTCTTATTTCCGAAAATGTTTGACATGCGCCAAAAATTCCCCCAATACTCAGACGCAACTAATGGGCCAGTTACCAGCAGCGAGAGTGACTCCAATACGTCCCTTCAAATGTAGTGGTGTGGATTATGCGGGTCCTATCCAGATACGGACAGCAAAAGGACGAGGACATAAATCTCACAAGGGGTATATATGCCTCTTTGTTTGCATGGCAACCAAGGCCATACACCTTGAAGTAGTCACTGATCTCAGTTCTCAAGGGTTCTTGCAGGCGTTTAAGCGATTCGTCTCCAGACGTGGTCATTGCTCTGATTTATGGAGTGACAACGCAACTAATTTCACTGGAGCAGCCAACGAGCTAAAACGACTTTTCCTAACCGAAAACGGATCGATGCTACAGGAAGTAGCTGAATCAGTGGCTAATAACGACTGCAACTGGCATTTCATCCCTGCCCGGTCACCTAATTTTGGTGGTTTATGGGAGGCGGGGGTGAAATCAGTCAAGTACCACTTAAAACGTGTAATAGGACAATCAACTTTGACATTTGAGGAGATGTCAACTGTTCTAGCACAAGTGGAGGCCTGTCTTAATTCCAGACCGCTGTCAGTTATCCGAGGTGACTCCGACGATATCATGGTCTTAACTCCGGGTCATTTCCTAGTGGGAGAGCCTATTGTGACTCCGCCAGACCAAAATTACGAATCTCACACTGTTAGTTCCTTAAGAAGGTGGCAGTTCACCCAAAGAATGTTGCAGGACTTTTGGAAAAAATGGTCTCAGGAATACCTTACCAAGTTTTTGCACCGTTATAAGTGGTCATCAGTGCAACCTCAGCCCAAGGTGGGCGACGTTGTTTTAGTAAAAGAGGACGGATTACCACCCTGCCGATGGCTATATGGCAGAGTGATTGAAACTCATCCTGGAAAAGACAATTTGGTCAGAGTAATAACGTTAAAAACAAAAAATGGAACATTTAAACGTCCGATTTCCAAAGTGTGTCTGCTTCCGATTGCGACTGAATAATGTTAAATAATATTATAAGGGTTTAACTAGATTAGAATATAGATTTAGAATACGTTGTTAAGTTTAAAATTGATCCTCAACTTGTATTGTGAAAAGATTTTATGTGAAGTTATAGATTAATAGAAAAGCCATTAGTGTTGTTGTTAAAGGACAAATATCATATTTGTCCTTGGTGGGCGATTATGTTAAGATTGTTAAGATTAAGTCAGATGACAACTTATAGATGGCGTTGTACTGTTTTAAATCGCGGTATGGTTGTAGTGTTCAAGCCTACATGTAAGAACATGGTTTCGATAAAATAAATAACCTTAGCATATCTACTTGTATTTACTTGGATTTATTTCAATACCTATACCTCGAGTGTGTGTGTGTACCATAAGGGAGTGATCAAAGTTTATTCAGTTGAAAAAATTCCAAAAAATGTATTTGCCCAAAAATTTGCTCAGACATAGCATCAGAATGATACTGAAATTATTCAAAATAGGTTCAAAAGTCTGGAATTTATCCATTAAACCCAAATGTCGTTCTAAAAGATAAGTATGATCCAGTCATGAAAAAAATTAAACCCTAGGAAGATATATAGTACTGAGATAATAAACCGCCTGCCAGGTGTGACGACTAGGGGTGCGAAGTCAGGGGGGTGCGAAGTCAGAAGTCCTCCACGTGTGCCTGGTAGTTGCGGGTCCCTCTCGATACGTCTGGAGGGAAGAGCAGCTACTGGGCCGGTGCACCCTGGGCGCGGCAGTAATCTTCCTCGAGAAATGAGAAGAAATTCTTACTCCTTGGGGAAGGTTACTGCCACGGCTAATTATTCTGACATGGGTGGGGTCCGTCCCGGACCAACGGCGCGTTCCACTGCGTGACCCTCTGATCAGCAGAGGGCATAGCAGAGGAGTGAGGGCGGGCTCGGTGTGCACTTACCCTGCCTCCGGGCAGACAGTGAAGGATTCATCCTTTGCTGTCACCGCCGGTCTCGTAATCCCAGTATCGAAGTGTCGTGGATCATGTCTCGCGGCTTTGATTGGGACCGAGGGTCTTGGCTTAACCGCCCGGACCGCGAGGGAGAAAACCTCTATAAAAAGTTACCCCGAATCTCAAGCGGCGACGCACCGCGAGGGGATGGATGGCTGACGGGGTTCTATGAACAAATCAGTCGATAGTGCGCTCCTCGCCAGGGTACCTGCAGACCCCCTGGCGAGTAATAAATCCTCTAAATCTGCTTACCTTGGTAAGGGGTCACTGCCAAGGTGGACATTTAATTACTCCCATACTCGTGGGTACAAATATGGAAAATAAACAACAAAAAACCAAAACCGCCGGCAACGGCAACGTAGAGGAGAGGAGGAACGATGCGGGGACAGAGTCCGACGCCGCATCGAGCAGCGTGGGAGGCTCAAAGAGCTCCCGACGCGTGGAGCCTGGGACCGCGGAGACCAGTAAGTTTTTCCGCAAGCGGTCCAGGCGGGATGGCGACCAGGGGTCGTCAGCCGGAGAAGAGGAGACTTCGGCCCGGAAAATCCCCACCAACAGGCGGGGCGGGCTGAGAGGCAAGGGGAGGGGGCCCTCTGACAATCAGAGGGCCGAACAAGCGGCAAAGCATGCCGAGGAGGGGCGCCACCCGGGCGATACGGCTCGGGTATCAGGCGAAGAGACGGATGCGACTGGCGGCTCCGAGGTGGAGCGTAAGGCCAGATTCGTAAAGGAGGTGGAGGCCGCGATCAAGGTCGTGGCCCACAAGCAAAAGGCCTCCTCAAAGTTAAAGGCCATTCCCGCGGCCTCCGCCTCCATCATGGCGGCTGCGGAGGCCAACTTTGTTGGGGCCGAGCTTAATGTCAACGAGGTAGCGGAGCTGCGGGCGGAAGTGGCCCGCCTGACGTCCGCCATGGAGACTCTCCAGAAGGAGAACGAGAAGCTCCGCGCAGACCTGGCCAGTCTACGTGAGCCTGCCTCTCGCGCGGCGCCCCAGACGCAGCGCCCAAGCCAGCCCGTGCCGGTGGAGAACCAGGTTCTGAACCTGGTCCAGCAGGAGCTGGCTGCCTTCCAGCACCGGTTCTCCGTGCTGGAGGGCATCGTCCTGCGCCCCCCCCTAGGGGCAAACAAGACGGCGGCGAGGCCGGCAACGGTCTCGTACGCGGCGGCTACAGCTGCCGCATCCAGGCCGGGGCCGTCCAGCCAGCCTTCGGGCGGGGCTGCAGTTGCCCCTCCTCCCCCTGAAAAGCCGGCTCCGGCAAAACCGGTACCGGCTGAACCGGCTCCGGCTAAGCCGGCAACGGGAAAGAGAGGCAAGGAGAAGACAAAAAAGGGCAAAGCGGCAGCACAGGTGGTGGCTGCGCCAGCCCCAGTGCCTGCGGCGAATGTGCCAGCGCCAGCGGCAAGCCAGCTGCCGCCGCCGCCACCGCCCCCGCAGCTCCCTACACCTCCCACGGCTGAAGCCGGTTGGCAGGTGGTCGGGGACAAAAATAAGGGGAAGAAGGCAGCCAAAAAGGCCAAAGAGCAGGAGCGGCAGCGCCAGTTCAGGGCGCGCAAGATGGCGGCTAGGCTCCGCGCCCCGAAGACCGCAGCTGTAGTGATTACACTACAGCCGGACGCGGAAAAGAAGGGCGTTACCTACCGCGATCTGCTCGCGAAGGCGAAAGAGGCGGTGGATCTCGGGGAGCTCGGGATCACCGGGGGCCTCCGGCTCAAAGTCACCCAGACGGGGGCCCGTATGCTGGAGATCCCCGGGGAATCCAGTGGCGCGACCGCGGACGCTCTGGCTGCGAAGCTCAGAGCGTCCCTGGACGCGGACGAGGCCCGAGTGTCCAGGCCCGTCAGATGCGCAGACCTGCGCATCATGGGTCTGGACGACTCGGTATCGGAGAAGGAGTTAGTGGCCGCCGTCGCCAGGTCCGGGGGGTGCACTACTGACCAGGTCAGGTCAGGCGCCATACGCCCGGACCAACAGGGTATGCATGCCGCCACGGTGTGCTGCCCTGTTACGGCGGCCAAAACCATAGTGGAGGGCCGAAGGCTTCTGGTGGGCTGGGTCTCAGCGCAGGTTAAGCTGCTGGAGCCCAGACCTCTGAGGTGCTACCGCTGTCTCGTGGGGCACCACGTATCTGTGAAATGCGCCTCGGAGGTTGACCGCAGTGGCCTTTGCTTCCGCTGCTGTCAGCCCGGACACATATCGGCGACCTGCTGCGCCACGCCGCACTGTGATGCATGTGCGGCGACCGGCAAGCCAGCCGATCACCGGGCCGGAAGCAAGGCCTGCGTGCCACCCGCCAAGGCCAAGGCCGCGGGTAGGGGAGGGCCCTCCGCCGCCACCGCCTCTGTGGCCACCGCCGCAGTCGCGACTGCCGCCGCCGCCGCCGCCGCTGTGACTGTCGCTGCCGCCGCCGCCGCGACACCGACGCCCGCAGAGAGGCGCCCCGTGGAGGAAGCTGAAATGGAATGCCTATAACGGCCCCATTAAGCTTCCTCCAGGCGAATATCAACCACTGCGCCTGCGCTCAGGATCTGTTGCTCCAGAGCATGGCGCAGTGGTCGATCAACATCGCTGTGGTCGCTGAGCCGTATTTTGTCTGGCCTAGGGAGGACTGGGTGGCGGACCTTAACGGCTCAGTGGCCATCATTTCTTCAGCCGCCGCCGGTACCCCGACCCTTGAAGGTGTCAGGAGGGGTCAGGGGTGCGTAGCAGCACGGTTCGGGGAGTTCGTCGTTGTGGGGGTGTACTTCTCCCCGAACCGATCTCTCGCCGAGTTTCACAACTCTCTTGCAGAGCTGAGAGCAGTCGTCGTCGGAAGCAATCCCCTCCCCGTACTTGTCCTCGGGGACTTCAATGCCAAGAACTTGGCTTGGGGTTCTCGTCGTACAGATGTGCGGGGTAGGATGGTGGAAGACTGGGCTCTGGAGACAGGCCTGGTCGTCCTAAATCGGGGTTCTGTCCCCACGTGTGTGCGGATGCGGGGCGAGTCGGTGGTGGACATTTCGTTCGCTAGCCCCGCTCTGTCGCCGCGTGCCATTGACTGGCGTGTCATGGAGGGGGTGGAGACCTACTCCGACCACCGGTACATCCGGTTTGACGTCTCCACCCAGCCCTCGAGCGCGCCAGTCCAACAGGCCCCGAGTGGTCCGCGTTGGGCGCTGAAGCAGCTGGACCGGGAGCTCCTCCTGGAAGCCTCGATCGTGCAGGCCTGGGTGTCATCACCGGACAGGCCTGCCGACGTCAATGATGAGGCAGGGTGGTTCCAGGAGGCCATGTCCGAGATATGTGACGTGGCAATGCCCCGCGTCCGGCCAGGAAGCGCCCGGCGTCAGGTGTATTGGTGGTCGCGTGAGCTGACGTCTCTGCGCGAGGCGTGTGTCGCCGCGCGGCACCTGTACGCCAGGCACCGCAGGCTCCGCATTCGTCCACCGAATGCGGCAGCCATTGAGGCGGAGCTGTACGAGGGATACAGAGCGGCAAAGACCGCCCTCCGGGAGGCTGTCCTGCGGGCCCGGGATCGGGCCCGTGAGGAGATGCTGGAGACTCTCGATAGAGATCCGTGGGGGCGCCCTTACAAGATCGTGTGGGATAAACTCCGCACCTGGGCCCCCCCGCTGACGCAGAGTCTCCGGCCTCAGCTCGTGGAGGATGTGGTGAGCGCTCTGTTCCCTGCGCGCGGGGAACATCCGCCCCCGCCTATGGCTCCGCCACCTGCGGTGCCGGAAGCGGACCACCAGGACGACGACGACGACATCCCGGAAGGGACCGGGGTAGACCTGAGAGTGGCGGTACGTAGGCTCAAGGCCAGGAATACCGCCCCAGGACCCGATGGCTTGCCTGGCAAAGCCTGGGTCCTGGCCTCGGAGGCTCTCGGGCCCCGACTGGAGGGGCTCCTAAGCGCATGCTTGGAGAGAGGCCAATTCCCGCTTCGTTGGAAGACGGGGAAGCTGGTCCTCATTCGGAAGCCGGGGCGCCCTGCGGACTCTCCGTCCGCATACCGGCCCGTGGTGCTGCTCGACGAGGTGGGCAAGCT